GCTATTCGAGAGTGAGCAAAATTCGCTGAATCTGTCGGAGACAACTCAATACACGTCCTTTCTACTCTGCCGCCATTATTATTCATTGTTGTTATTATTATTATTATTATTATTATTATTATTATTATTATTATTATTACTCTGTATTTATGAATGCTGTGTAATTTTGATTTGTTTGTATTTGTTACTGCTTTTTCTCAGGGCTTGAAATCCTTATAAAATACCACAGTTTATGCAAAAAGTAAAATATTTTAACTTATGATTGTAAATTTTATTACCAGGCAGTAGTGTTAGAAACATTGAGGCTTTTCAAGTTCTGCAAACCGTGTTCCTTAAGGTAAAGATTTAGAATTCAATAAGCAGTTTCAAACTAGCATTGATCAATCCTTTTGTTGGTAACATTCCACCATGTAATGAATGAGGCTCATTAGATCTTGCTCTTTTGCAGACAACAGACAAGCTCCTCTGTCTAAATATCCTGGATTGCATCAAGAACATCTATCACTCAGATGATGCAAATTTTTTCATTCTGAAACCACAGAATGCATTGTCATTATTTGTTGAAAATGCTCCAGAGAAGGACATTGAAGTACAAGAAAGAATTTTCCAATTACTGGAACTGGTGATTTGTGGTCTCAACTGGGTACCATGCCCAGAACTTATCTCTGTCAGCATTCTTTACAAGAACAAGAAGTAAGATAACATATTCTTTTTAAAAAAAACATATGAAGATAATCTATTTCTTTTGCATCAACTGTACTTGAACACTCTGTTCATGACATTGTCTGAGTTCATTTTTGTCTAAAATTCATTGTGGAAGAAAAAGCAGCAAATAAATAAATAGTTTATATCCATGTAATAAATGAATTTTATGAAATTTTTTTTTTCTGATAGGGTCTCAGGCTGTCATCAAGTTGCTCTTAGTTTTCTTATTCGTATTCTGTGCTTTGATCCCAAGTATAAAGATGTGTTCAGATATGTAGGAATTCTAGAAGTGTTAACAAACTGTCTTAAGCAGTATGCTGATGCGTTGAAGGAAAAATATGGCGGTAAGGCTAATGTAATTATGATTATATGAAGTTGACCAAGATGACCTCATTTATACCCATAAAAATCCCCTCTAAAGAGTACCCTTCTCCCAACATTTGGCTTTCTAACTCAGTTGATAGCAGGACCCAAATAGTGTCTGGGAGGCATGCAATTGAATCTCATTAAAGCCTGAATTTTTTTTTCAGGCTTGTTTTCTGCAATTGCTTCACCCTTTGACCCCTGAGAGTGACAAGCATCTAACTTCTCCTTACAATATCTCCCCAAAATCACAGGTTAAGGTCAAGAGAATAAAGGAAATGATCACCAACTAGAGAAGCTCTTGGTTGTGAAAGAAATTCTCCTTTTTAGTTCACCAGAAAATATGTAGAGTAAGGACAGTAAGGAGAATATGCATACTGATGTTAGGGTGTAAAGGGTGAAATTACAGCTCACCTGCAGGGATTATTTCTTCGCAATATTTTCATGCCAAGTGAAAATCTTATTAACCCTTAGTTAAACTCCCAAGATCTCGTTAGTAATTCTCCTTACTGTCTGCCATATGGTTCTTGTTGTGTTAGTTTGGAGAATTTGGTATTGGATCAACTAATAATCCCCTAATTGATATTTTTCTCTATTTTCATCATTTGTCTGCTTGATCATGTATTGATATTGTAAGGAGAAATTCTGTCCTGGTCTCTCATGGGAGTTGAAGTGTTAAGAGAGGATGTCAGCATCCATCGGACAAATTTGAAATATTGAGGCAAGTCGCCCAAATTTTGTTTGCACTCCTACTTTCATATCTTGTAGCCCAATATGTTCTAATAATTGGGGTGTAGTTTTTTGTGAAAATATATTTTAGTTTTCGAGAAATAATTTTTTTCGTTCGAGCGCTCAAATATGCAAATTTTCACCGTAAATATTACCCGAGTTGTGTGACCTCATGTAACGATTCCACTTGACCTCCGGCATTTCTGTCGACATAATCCTTTGTTTTATCATCTAAACTTAATCCCCTGTCATTATTGAAGCTGGCAAAGAAATATTTATTTTTTGGTGAGTATTTTTGTCCGACATACCTTTCCTATGTTGAAAAGTAGCATCAAAACAAAGACAGTTGAAAGACAAAGACAATGACCGGTATGACAAAATCTACTGAGCTTCAAACTTTTAAAAGACAAAAGGATGGTTATAAAGTTACTGTAAAAATTTCCTTGTGTATTTGTGTTGTTCTGTCTTGAGACGAGCTCAAAGTCCGGCAAAATTTACTTGATAGCGACTATGAAATATACATGGTGTGCCTACGTGTCGCCACCGTTAACTGGCATAAATCACTACAATTTGTAAAAAAATCTAACATAGTGCTCTTACCTTGTTCATTTATGATTTATTAGCCGTTTCGATAATTATATTACACATGGGTATTACTTTTTGACAGGAGCCTTGGTTTTGCGTTGTGTTTTCCCCTCCCCCATTTATATCATGAGCTAGTCACGCAATAATTGATACCGACACAAATCAATTTACCATGTATAAAGTTTTTGTCTATGTTGTATTGAAAATATTAGAACATGTGCCTTTTTTGGTCAGTAATAGTTGTTTCAGCAGCTACTGAAATTTATTGTATTCAAACAGGCGAGCACTTTTAGGGGCCTTTTACATGATATCCGAAAGAGTTTTGTTCAAGAACGAGTTCATACCGGTTGCCAGCTGATACCAGAGTAAAATAATTTCGAGACGAGTCATTTCTGAGTGAGTTTATTGGGGTTTTCATTACAGAACGAAACACTCATTCTGAACGACCTTTTCAACCTGTATAATGTAAACGCGGTACGACTCTCATATGAATCCTCTTTAAGAGCAAGGGAAGCATAGAAAAAGACAGAAAAGGACACGAATACTTGTTTTTACAGGCTAAATTATCTTGCATGTAAACGCGGTATGAAATTAATTTCGTTCCGGAACGAAACTTATTTTGAAATTATGGAAAAGCAGGAGTAATGGGTTCCTGGTAAAAGTACCTTAGGGACGGTCATTAGACTTTTGAGGGGAGGGTGGCTGGGTTAAAAGTAGGAGTGAAAGTAAATTTTGGGTGACTTGCCGCTGTTTGTCTGATGCATGCTGACATTGGCTCTTAAAATCTTCCTAAGATTCTTGTAAGTTTCTGATCAAGATTCTTATTAAGACTCTTAATTAAGAATCTTATTAGATCCTACAAGATCTTAATAAGATTTTCACCTGGGATCTGTAGGTCAAATGGAGTTTCTTTCATTATTTATACCTATAAAACTGGGAATTACAAGGAAGGAGATTTATTTTAATTTGGAGAAGAATCATGTAAAAAATTTCATTTTGTTCACAATCAGAAACAGTCAAGACAGCCATCAGTCAGCTGGATGTGAATGGTTACGATGATTCTGAAAATGTTCCTGATTATCCATTCCTGCTGATGGGATGCCTAAGATTGCTCTTGGCTGATAACCCTGAAAATGCCACAATGTTCAGGGAGTGTGGAGGAGCTCGCTGCATCCACAACATTGTGCCATACTCAAGCTCAAGGACAGAGTCTTTGAAGATTATCAGAGAGTTGATTCTAAGTGATGGAAATGATGATCTTAGTGAGGAGAATTCAGTCTTGTAATCATCGCCATCATTTAAGTACATGAGCAGTGGAGCATTTTGAAATGTGGGGGGAGGGGGTGGAAATTTTTCCTAGGGAGTGGGAGAGATTCTTCACAGGGGTCAGGGGGGATTCTTGTCAGGAGGGAGGTGGGAAAGATTCTTCTCAGGGGTAGGGGGGATTCTTGCTAGGGAAAGGGTGGGAGAGATTCTTCTTTGGGGATAGTGGGAGATTCTTCTCAGGGGGTAAGGGAGATTCTTGCCAGGGAAGAGGTTGGAGGAATTCTTCTCAGGGGAAGGGAAACTCTTTCCAGAAGGGTGGAGAGAGTCCTCACATTTCCCAGTGTCTTTTGTGTAATTTGTTAGAAAAAGTGAAGTGCTGTGTAGGGGGAGATTCTTCTTGGGGGGTAGGGGAGATTCTTGCCAGGGAAGAGGTGGGAGGGATTCTTCCTAGGGGAAGGGAGATTCTCTCCAGAAGCAGAAGAGAGTCCTCACATTTCCCAGTGTCCTTTGTGTAATTTGTTAGAATAAGTGAAGTGCTGTGATTATTAGGAACAAAAAAAATAAAAATTTGGAATCTTTACTAACAAATTTCTTTTAGGTACTCTCCTTGGCTTGATGCACTCAACTCAGCTGTCTGAGGTGAAGCTGAAAACCGATGTGTTAGATGCATTGCTGAAAGTGTTCGACCTTGATCCCAGAACAAGAGCTGTGTTTCGTGAAGTTGGAGGATTTGAGGATGTCATGTCTGTCTTGATTAACATGGAAGGAAGTCTGGCTGACCCTGTAAATCCTGCATGGACTGATGGTACTTGACATAACTTGTAGCAGTTGCTTTGATGTTTATTAACTTTGCTCTGTGATTAGTCCAGAAAACTCATGCCATCTCCTCAGCCAATCAGATGCAAAATGAAAGTAATTCTGACTTGATCACCCACATTTACATGCACCGCAAGCAGTTTGTTGTTTCCACTTTGAGTTCTCATAGGCTAATGATAATGTAAATCTCTTTCTGATTGATTGCTGATATTAGATATCAGTTTTTTACACTTGATAGAAAACTTCTCTTTCCATGATGTTGATTACTATGTTTTCCCATAGTTAACCGCGAACAGATTCTTGTTCTCTTGCGAACGGTGTTCCATGTTTTGACAGCTGCCATTCAAGATGACCCAGCCAACAAGAACTTCATGGATAGGGTAAAATTTCCAAATTCTTTCAATGGATTTAATTATACTGATCATCACTCTAAGAATGGATGCACTATCCTGAATTATAATCCATTAAATATATAGCTGATTCCAGTTCAGAGAACATTTTGCTGCTATTACAGAATATAAGATAAAGTCGCTCTGAAAAGTCATAGTCTGTTAGTGATGGTAGGCTATTTTTAAATGTTTTGTTTTGCCGGCTGTGAAATATATTTGAAGGAACAAAGGACACAAAAGGCGTCATTTCGCTTGTAGATTACCAGAAAGCTGTTCCCTTCTTGGAGTAGTTTTTGTTTGGAAACCAATGTATAAGCCTATTTTCCAGAAAATGAGAGGTGGTTGTTTAAATATTTAGTTTTGTCGTTTTTTGCTTGTAAAGATCAAATTACGAGGGCTTTCAGACACCATACGCTTGCTGGGTTGCTTTTCAATGGATATCTTTGATATTCCACCATATTGTGTGGATGGAGAACAAAAGAAATGGACACTTTGTGAGAGACGATTTTCACAATCACTCCAACACCTACCGCTGACCCCACGAGCGAGTGCGGACTCAGTTCGATCATCAGTGACATTAGTTTTTGAAGGCACTTTGGATCTTGATCCAGTTTCGGTGCTGTATGCAGCCAATGAGATGTTCAAGAACCTTTTTGACATGGCTAAAGATTCGTTTCGTTTAAAGAGTGGTGGGATCTTATCAGTGGATTCATCCGGAACACAAACGGGGAGAAATGGTATTGGTGTTCCATATATTTATCATGGTGGTGCAGTAACAGCCGCTGTTGATCTTCTTCCAGCTGTTTCCGAAATGAATGGAACTGCCACATCAGAGGTAAGGGTTGACTCTGTGGATGAACTAAGCTTAGATTTTCAAAACCACAGACTTTCATTGTCAACTGCCTTACAAAAATTGCGATTTTTCAAAATTTTCATTTAAAAATTGCCGTCAATGGCTTTTTAAATCTATTGCAGCACCTCAAGATCGAACCCACCGACCTCAGACAACTAAAAAGAAAAATGCATCAGCAGCGCGCTAAGAATATTTTATGCAAATGTCTTTGACATAAGATCACAATAAGTCAAAGATGATGATGTTATTGCTTCCTTCTTAACTGGCAACGTCCGTTTACAATTTGATTGAAAAATGTTTTTCGTCTTGTCACGAGCGTGAGATAAATTCCTATGACACGTATTCTGCATACGGTGGAGTCTGTGGCTCAGTGGTAGAGCATCGGAGCACGGAATCTAAAGGTCTGAGGTTCGATTCTTCATGGGAACTCTGAATTTTTTCTTTGTCCCACGCTCATGAAAACACGAAAAAACATCTTTCTCTATTTCTTTACTGAGCTCAAAACTTACCATCTCTCTTATTTTATTTAAAATTTTTTCTACGTGCCATGGTGACCAAAATGACTCCAACTTGGAGCGCTGCTTTTCAAGACCACTCTTACCTGGACGGATCAACTGAAGGAAATTTGTAAATGGGTTAAACAATGAGGGGAACACCTTTTGGTTTTGTTTTGCAGGAATGCTTAGAGCTACAGTTGTACTGGATTTGTCATCTGCAGAGTCTTTTGAAGTGCGAACACAACGTGCAAGTGATGTGTGAAGCAGGGCTGCCACAGCAGATCCTTGACAGATGTGAATCTGCTTTGGTCACAGAAGAACATCCATTATATGCACCGCTACAAAAAATACTTGAAAGACTGGCCTCCCAGCCATTGACACCAACAGTGTTGAGGTAGGTTTAAACAAAATGTTGTTCTCAGAGGTGAATTCAGGAAAAGGTTCTGAGAGTTAAGAGTCACCCACCACCCACCCCCCTCCCTCCTGTTTTAGGGTATTTTTGCTACTCGTCGGAAACTTAATTTTTTTCCATCGAAGATGAATCCCAAGGGAGGGGCTGGGGTTCCAGACCCACCCCCCTCCCCCGTAAACCCTTGTGCATTTTACTAATTGTATGAAACCAAAATTTTTCAACAACAGGATCGCTTATAACTCGGATGCCTGTGGTAGCCCAGTCATAAAACGCCTTTGTTTTTTGTCGTCTTTTTTTTTTTTCCTCCGCCACCACAAGATGGAAAAATTGCGCAATAGTACCCACTGGTCATTGGGCCCTCAACACCATGACAACTAACTGTGATCCAATGAGGGTGAAGGTGTTCACATGGTGATCACGTGTGTTATCTTGATGATAATTGACGTTGTCATGTACGGACAGGGCCGGGTCACATGACGAACCACGAGATTTTTGCTTATAACACTCTTTTGTCAGCCATTTTGTATTTGTTCTTGGGTTGTTGTCTTGGCGATGGTAGTGCTACGATTTTGGTTTACGATCACCTGGAGCTTTATGATGCAAACGCTCAAAATACTTACAGACGCATACACAAGTCGTATTGTTCGCGGTCAATCCACACTAAAAGATGTTATTGAACGGTATTTTTGGAACGGACCGAGTCGCGAACACTAGAAAGCCATGAAAGCTATGAAAGCCTTGTATGCCTTGTATGCCTTGTATGCCTTGTATGCCAAGTATGCCAATGTCTTAGTTGAAAAAAGGACACTTGTTGAAAAAAGAAAAAATCTGAAATCTGAAACCAAACTGCATACACTCTATGCAATCTACTGAACAACATTACTACCGTGAGACTGAAGATCACGATCAGAAAGGGGAAAGAAGAGTATTAACGCGGAAAAGAACGAAAATGTGGAATTACCTCACACACAGGTATTTTGTGGTAGATTATGTGTGTTGTGCGAATAAATGTAACCAAAAATAAACTGTATTTGTGCTACGGATACCTGTTAGTACAAAATGCAGACAGCAGACTGCGGACCGGATACAAAATATAGACTGCAGACTGCAGAGTGGGTACAAAATGCAGACTGAGAATCTGAAGAGTTTTTACGTCTGGCATATAATATCATGTCATCTTACAGCTTACCGAGCGTCACGCAATCGCTTTTCCGCGATCAGCCTTCACGATTATTTGCACTATTATGGAAAATTCCTGGCCCACTTCTTGATGAAAATCGATCGTAATATAATTTCAAGCCTTCAATATAGTCTTCTTACTTTGCGCGCGAGTTGGTTGGTGTGATTTCTGTACAGATTTTACCAAAGTAATAAAAGTAGATGACGTAAATAACAGTGATGGTAAAGCAAGCTTAAAACGGCAGAAATCGCCAGAAACTACAACGGATACACAGCGTATAAGAAACTTTTATTGATTTTACGAGAAAAATGTTCATATTTCGAATTATTTATCGTTGTAAATCGACCATATTTCGTTCCCTATACTATTCCTTATAACGTGTTCAAATTTTCAACGGTTACTCTCGTAACTCAACACCGAGTCACACAACGCGTGACACGTTCATGCATTAATCGTTGGATCTTTCTCGAGGTGCGAGCTCGCGCCGCCTGTGACAAGACAATTGCGTAATCAATACTTAGCATAACAACATTGTACACAAAAAAGACAGGATTTTGGATCGTGTATTTATTAAAAAAGAATATCCATACAACTACAACGAAAACAAACATAAGATTCACCCTTCTGATCGTGAAATTAATACCATTCGCACTGTTATCGTAGCTACGTTCCCTGGCATCAAGTGAATCCAACATGGCGTCTTTCTTCACAAGCAGTTTGCATCCATTAGAGTTTTGTTCTTCAGTCACACGGTAGTAGTGTTGTTCTTTAGATTGCATAGAGTATATGCAGTTTGGTTTCAGATTTCAGATTTTGCTTTTTACAACAAAGTTTTTTCAACTAAGACATTGGCATACTTGGCATACAAGGCATATAAGGCGTACAAGGCATACAAGGCATTTAAGGCTTTCATGCCTTTCAAGTGTTCGCGACTCAATCCGTTCCAAAATTACCGCGCAATAACACCTTTTAGTGTGGATTGTACGACTTGTGTATGCGTCTGTAAGTATTTTGAGCGTTTGCGCCATAATGCTCCAGGTGATCGTGATCCAAATACGTTGAAATACAAAACGACTGACAAAAGAGTTTTACAAGCAAAAATCTCGTGGTTCGTCATGTGACCCAGCCCTGTCCGTGCATGACAACGTCAATCATCAACAAGATAACACGCCTGATCAGCATGTGAACACCTCATTGGATCAGAGTTAGTTGTCATGGTGTTGAGGGCCCAATGACCTCTGGGTGCTATTGCGCAATTTTTCCATTTTGTGGCGGAAGAAAAAAAAAAGACGACAAAAAAACAAAGGCATTTTTTGACTGGGCTACCACAGGTATCCTTAGCATTTAAACGAGTCTTTGAGGAAAGTCTCTGAAGGACCCCTAGAAAGGTTTCCGACATTGTTAGTAAGAGACATTCTGATGCAGATTCACATTTAAATACTCTGACGTTCAGAGATGTGATGCCGAGTATGACACAACCAAGCTCAGAATCAGTGTATTGTGTGGAATCAAATTCTGAGGAGGACGAGTATGTGATAGTTCATAAATCGAACATTTCACCTAACCCTCTTTGCACTGACGAGGACAGTGATGATGACGATGATAAATCAGAGAGCGAAGATACCCCGCCACAACCTCCACCGAGAGGATTTAAAGGAAATTCTGCGTGGCGCTCTTTGGAAAATTTTCTCGATCTAGATACGAGCCTCCCCTATGGTCAGCAGTATCGTGTTGCTATGGAAACCAGTGATCAGCCCACAGACATACCAACAGCGGAGGTTGACGGAGTAGATATTGACACGACTGGGACTGGGGGCATGGGTGACAATTTCCAGGAGCAACATCAAATTCCAGGAGATTTTCAGGAGAGCGATCAGTTTTCAGATGCTAAAGATTACTCTCAGTCCATGCTAAGAAAACCGAACCAACGAAATAGAAGAGGAAAAGATTCTCATGAAAATCTCAAATCGGCCCCCAGTCCTGCTGATCAGTCTCAATTTGAAAGGAATAAAATACTCATTCGAGGGCTGAGTGAGGAAACCTCTCGGGACAGACTGGTGAATTTTATCAAGGCAAGGAGTGGTGGGGAAGAGGTTAAGGACGTACAGCTGCTGAAGAATGGAAAAGCCTTGGTCACCATGGCTGATGCAATCAAAGGTACGTACCTTTGAACTGAATTTGGAGAGAATTTCTTAATCGCACTTCTTTGATCTGTTCGCGAGTTATCAGGGATGAAAGCTCACGCCGCTTCAGTTTCATCCTTTCAGTTTTAAGCAATGAACTTACCTTCAAATGATAGGAAATTAACTTTTCATTGATTAAAATTGTTGTATGCTTTATTAGTACCTGAAAAATTAAGATGCCTTATTTTAGACATTTCGATTTTCTTCTCCAAACTATCAAAACAACCCAGATTAAAGTAATCAGTTTATTTGGGAACATTACATGTAACTCATTAGTGTTGTTCCTTTCAGGTAGACTTAAAAGTGGAGATCACACAAGACAAACATTTGTTGAGAATGTGATTTGTTTTCCTTAGATTTCACAGAAATAAAGACCAAATGCGAGGAGAGAGGTCTGGATGATGCAAAGGTTTCCATCGAACAAGTCCCGGTTTGCAGAAGCATCCTTGTCACTGGCTTTTCAGACATTACCCATGATTTTATTGAACTGTACTTTAAGAGTCGTCGAAACGGTGGGGGTCCTGTGGAGAAGGTTGACTATGTTCCTAAAAGTGGTCGAGCTGTGGTTATGTTTCAAGACGCAAAAGGTTTGTAGTTCATTGATCTCTAAAATATAAGTACAGTGTAATTCCTTCAGGCACGAATAATCGACATCTGATCCTCATATGTATGCAGCAAATATTGGTTGCCCTGATTTAAAACTTGAGCCGTACATTAGACTTAGAGAAGAACAAATTGCCTCAACAACCCCATCGTCCTACGTCTGTGCGTCTCTCTCAAATTAAAGTGTCATGAAGTGTTGTGAAAAGACAAATAACTTCCTCAGGGAAATTCCTGACACTTAGTTGCTTCAATCAACAGATATGGAAAGGGTGTTAACCAGAAATGCAGAGAAACCTTATGAGTTTGACAAAACCCAACTGTCAATTAAAGCTTACCTAGAGTTTCGAGAAGACGAAGAAGTTGACGGAGCAGAGGATTCCGGTGACTTAGGAGCAACTGCGACCGGGGCCAGTGAATCTCGAGTGAGCCAGAAACCTGATGCCAAAGCTCAACAGCTGCAGATAGCTGTAGATCCCGACGTTATGGAATACGTCACATCCAAAGGATTCCAAGTTGAACTGAGCAATTCGCTGGCTGGAAAGAAGAGCGAAATCACCTGGAAACCCAACAACAAAATGGCTGTAATAGTGTACCGTGGGGAAGATGACAGTGATTCCTGGCAATCTGAATGCATTGACCAAGTACAAAATTACCTCGGCAAGTTTGCAAAGTGCGATGTGCAGGTCAACAAGGATTTCTGGGAAGCCGTGGTAGCAAACGTTCCTAGCATTGGCACCTGCTTGGGAGTTGATCCCCCACTGGTTAAGACTATTCCTGATTCAAATGTTGTTAGGATCGTTTCATTAAGAACAGATGTGAAAAGTAACAAGGAAAAAGTGAAGTCAAAGTTGGAAGAAATCTACCGCGAGGAGACCAGAAAAACTTATCTGAAGAAGAAAATTCCAAATGTTCCCAAGAAGCACTTAATTTTGCTGAAGAAGATAAAATTTGCCGAGAAACTCCAAGAAAAGCACAAGGAGTTGGAGATCAAGTTTGATACTGAAGGTGAACAAATATATTTCGAAGGTCCCAAGCCAGAGGTTACCTTGGCAACCATAAGGTTTTTCAACCAAATGACTCGCATGGTTGAGAAGAAATTGAATTTATCCGTCAGCATCCTGGAGATTTTAAACTCAGATGAAGGGCTTCAGACTTTCAAATGTGAGTTGGAAAGAAACAACTTGGAAGTAGTGTTCTTTATAGAGAAAGACGCCACCATAGTGGGATCATCGGCAGCGCATGCAGACAACGCGGCGAGGCTTGTGAACAAGTTGATGGTGGAAGAGAAAGTTCAAGTGGACGAGAAAAGCAAGCATTTGTTGAAGTCATCTGAATGGCTGAGGTTGTGTGGCGAGATGAACCAAAAAACTGTCCGTGTCCGGAGGAACAACTGGAAAGATACATACGTAACTGGGTTCCGTGATGACGTGACCAAAGTGATAAAGAAGTTAAATACCTTTCTTAAAAACAATCGCATAGAGGAGGAACGTTTTCTGTGCACGTCTGATATTATGCGAAGATATTTTCTTGAGCTACGTCAAGAGGATCTACGCACCATAGAAAATCAACTAAAAGATTTTGTAGTGAGTATTAAAAAGGGAAAAGACAATGATGATTTTGTCATTTCTGGAAACATAGAGGGTTTGAAACGTGCAGGAAAAAAGCTCGACGCTCTGATGGATTCCACTGAGTTGAAAACCTTTGAAGTGAAACAACCAGGCCTTCGAAAATACTTTGACAGTGGAAAAGGAGATCGGCTGGTGAAATTGGTGGAAAAAGATCAAGATTGTGCCATAAAAGTCCAGGAAAATTTAGGTCGAGGAGGAAGGGACGAGGAATTGCGCGTCGAATCCGTTTTTGACGCCTCTACTTCTTCAGGCGATAGTGACGATGATGTGGAGGATGACCACGCTACCACTGCTGGAACTGACTCGTCTACCCTGGTAATAGCCCAAAGTCACAGAGTGTCGTGGAAACCTGGAAACATAGAGGCAGAGAAGGTAGGATCGACTCACTGATTTCTTCACACCAGGAGAATATCTCATGAAAATACCTTAGAGGATCTTGTTGGCACATATATGGATTTTAGTTCTTCACTTAGCTCTCATCTACTCCTAGAGAGTGGTTACACTATTTAACGCCACTCTTATTAAGAGTGCCAAGTCTGATAACGACAACAGTCAACCATGTTGAAGAAGTTAGTTAATCATTAACATTATTCTTTTGGTTGTGTATTTCAGGCTGACGTACTTGTCAGTTCTCAAGGAGCATGCGATAAAGCAATCATTAATGCCGGTGGTCCTAAGGCCGCAACCCCCAAAGTTGGTGAAATCACTGTCTCAGGTGGTTTTTCCTCGGTCAGTCACGTGATTCACACTAACTGTTGTAAGTGGAACAACGGTGGAGGGGAACCGGTAAGTAATCAATAAAATGTAGGTAGATAATTAAGTATTAGTTCACTTTTGAAGAAAAGGACCTCTCGAAGAGTATTTATTGTTTAAATTTGATGAAAGCCTAAACGATATCGGATGCCCAACTGGCGAATCCGATCCATTCTATTGTAGCATACAGCAACTGAAGACTCTTCAGGCTCTATTTGATGTATGATTTCCGATGTAGGTTATCGTCAAACATTCCGTCATATTTATTAGGCCGAAGCAATCACAGGCGGCAAGCCTCACTCCTCACCGAATTCTTCGAGAATGATCAATCGAATAAGTAACGACAGGATTATTGCATAGAGTAACTTTCAATTTCTAATATCATACGAAAATCTTAATCAGAAATTTTGTAGAATTAGTGAGGGCAAAGATCTTACTAGAAAAAAAACAAATTGACCTGTGAAATTTTCACCACTAAAAAAAAAGAATTAATTAGGCCCGATTCCAAAGGTAATTTCCGTGATAATCCAAACATCCTCGATCCTGATCTTAAGAGGAAATACTACTTGTGTGAACATCCTACATGGCGCCCTCTTAATATCCTCGGGAAGTTGTTTATAAAATTGAAGGCTTAGATAACTTTGATCTTCGGAAAAAAGATTCCAGGAGGACTTAAAATAGTTGGAAAGGGATTCTGTTTTTTAACCTTTTTACTTTAAGGAGTGACCAGTCAGTTTTTTTCTCCTCCCGTTATCAATCCGTTATCAACCGGAAAGGTAACAAGAAGAAGGAAAATATATCAAGAAGGGGATATTGCATGACTTAATGCCAAATTTTGAGTGTCAAACTCAAAAGAAATGTACGGACGACAGTGTGGAGAATTGCTATTGAGGTCACATAGGAATGAAAAGATTTATTAGATCCCCTCTTGCCACCACATTCAACAACTTCTATTTCATCTTTTGTAGACGCTAAGGGTCATCGTTCAAAAGTGTCTGCAAACAGGCGTAACGCTTGGAGCAAACTCCATTGCATTTCCTGTCATAGGGACTGGAAACCTACACTTCCCACGCGATACAGCCTCGAGAATAATGTTGGAAGAAACAGTCAATTTCTGCCGAGCCAACCCTGGTTCTAATTTACGGGACATTCGATTTGTCGTGTTTAACCAAGATCAAGCATTAACTGCTGCCTTCAAACAAGAGATGGAAAAACTGCAACCCAAGCACACTGACCACTCTACCATCACGAATTTTACTAGTGGAATACGTTCCTTCTTTAAAAGGAAGAAAACGATGGGGACATCGGCTGTTAGCATTGAAGTCTTGAAGGGTGACTTGTATCAGGAAACTACGGATGCCATTGTGAATATAACAAGTAAGGACCTGAATATGGACAGTGCTGGAAAGTTGAGCCAGAAAGTGAAACAGCTAGCCGGGCCACTGGTAGAGACCGAGTTGAATCAGTTCGGAAAGCAATCGGGTGGAACCGCATTGATCACCAGCGGTGGAAATCTCCCTGCGCCGAAAATTATTCACTTAATTCCAGACACCAACGATAGAGACCACCTCCAGCAGTGTGTAGAAAGATGTCTTCGGCTGGCAGAGACGCATGGTCTTCGATCCATTTCGATTCCCGCAATTGGTACTGATGCATTCCATGTCTCTGCAATGGACTCGGCCAGTCTGATATTTAAGGCCCTGACAAACCTTAGTGGAAGCTTCCGTAGTGTCCGTAAGGTCAGGATTGTAATCTTCGAGTCTCCAATGTTGTCGGCATTTCATCAAGAACATCAGAGGCACTCGTTTTCTCCACAAGTAGGTGTGGCTGAGCGCATAACCTTCGCTAGCCCTTTCAGTATCGAGGTGATAAATGGTGATTTGACTCAAGAGAACAGCACTGACGCTATCATGAATATCATCAGCACGGACGTGAACATGAACAACACCGGAGACCTAAGCAAAGCCATAGCAAGACAGAGTGGTCCACTAGTGCAACAAGAATGCAACCAATTGGGAAAGCAGCCTCCTGGGACAGCGATAATGACCAGCGGAGGTAATTTACAAGTACCCTATATTATTCACATAATTCCAGGCTCCTCAGATAAGCAACATCTCCAGCAATGTTTGGAGGAGGGTCTTCGCGTTGCGGACGCCAATAACTTTCAAGCAATCTCAATTCCGTGTGTTGGCACAGGACGATACGGCTTGAAAGGAGCGGAATCAGCCCGACTAACGTTCAAAGCACTAAACGCATTCAGTGCCCGCTGTAAAAATATTCAAAAAGTAAGAGTGGTTGTGTTCCAGGCTTCTATGATGCAGGAGTTTCTGCAAGAGCAGAAGAAACAACCAGTGCAAGCTATTGAAGAAGACAGTGACTCAGAGAATGCAGCGGCTAGGCAAACCAGAAGACGCGGACGTAGGCAGGCACCAAGCCAAAGTGATGAACATTCTGTAACAATTTCTGTGATCGGCAAAGACAAGGTGAGTGTGGGAAAAGCCGTAGAATCCTTGAAGAAAGGTTTCTCTGACGCTTGTACGATGGAAAAAGTCGAAAGTGAAATCGTCAGTCAGCTTTCTGATAAGCAGAAAGATACCCTGAGAAAAAAAGCTAAAGACCGTGACGTCAAACTTGTAATTGAGGATGACGTAGATCGCATTGTCGTTCATGGTGGACCAGCCGAAGTAGCTGGAATAGTCGGAGAGATCTGGAAAGAGATCAACGAAATGATGAAGAAGAAGCAGGAGGAAGAACAAGCAAAGTTGGTTTCAAAGAACATAGAGTGGAGCTATGAAATACGAGGCACAACAATGGTGTTTGCTCCGAAAGCAAATGGAAAGATTGAGTTAGCCCATAGCAAAGACGAGCACACAGTGCAAGTTTCTCTACGCGGAGACAAGTTTGTCATCGACTTGAAGAGAAACTCTGGACGTGGACAAACGTCTGGTGAACAAATAACTCTGAAAAGAAAGGTGAAGGGTGCTGATGAAGGTTAGTTGCTATGCATTTCTTTTGACGAGGGTGTTTCGATAAGCTTAAAAAAAGGACTGAGAGCTGGTCCATGTCCTAGAGAACGTTTCAGGTAATAAACATTTCATACAGGAAGGGGATATTCAGAAAAGCTGTCCTTAAATGTCTCCACTGAGCTTTCTTGATAATCTTGAATGTGTCTTACCTTGAATATGTTCTTGGATGTTGAAATTTAACTTCAGTCGATGGGTTTTCATTTCAACATTCTAATGTTTTGGTCCTTTCTGTAGGAATTGCTCTGCCAAAGCACTGGACACCAATGCCCAGCCATGACTCCACTGTACATAAAGTACCATTGCACCCAAGCTCCCCTGAGTATCAAGATGTGGTACGTAAGTTTCAAGCCACAGCCGGAGCGTTAAATATTCAGAGGATTGAACGCGTACAGAATCCTCATCTGTATCAGTCTTACATGGTACGAAAACAGAAAATGGATAAAGATACTGGAGGAAATAGTGAAAGAGAGCTGTTTCATGGGACTGATGCTAAAAATATCAACCATATTAACACACAAGGATTCAACAGAAGCTTTTGTGGGGCTCATGGTAAGTCAGTTTAATTTTAAATAGAGGAGAAGTTTTCTCGTCTAGCTACGGGGTGGGATTAAGGAAAAATTTCAAGTACTTGTGAGGAATCGAACCTCAGATCTTCAGATTTCCTTGTTCAACGCTCTACTATTGAGCTACAGACTCTATGATGAGCAGGGTTTTCACGTGGTTAATATCTGGCACATCTTCCACATCCTGCAAGGATCATTCCTTTCGAAAGCTTCGTGTGTTAAAAAAGAGCATTGAAGCAACATTTTAGAGCGATTGCTCTTAACAAGTTAAAGCAATTTTTTGGTGAGACTAATAGTGTTTTGGCCACAATTCTATTCATATATTTGTCCACCTGTCCTAACAAGTGACCCAGACGTTGCATGAGCTCAGGCCAAATCACTCTTTGGAGCCAAAAATTGGTAATAAAAGCTGTAATAACGGAAGAATAATACAATTGCCTCTTTTATGACAAAAACGTCACTAAATGTATGTTTTTTTATATTTTTCTCTAAATTGAGCATTCTTTTTTTTTTTCAGGCACGGCTTATGGACGTGGTGTTTATTTTGCTAGAGACGCTCAATACTCTGTTGGATACGCTGGGGTTGGTGGTTATGGAGGGCGCCACATGTATCTTGCCAAGGTTCTCGTGGGGCAGTATTGTGTTGGAAATCCTTCAATGATTGTGCCTCCACCAAAAAACCCATCAAAACCTGAAATTCTTTACGATTCTGTGGTAAATAACCAATCAAGCCCCAGCATCTTTGTTGTTTTCTTTGATAATCAGTGTTACCCTGAATACCTTATAACCTTTTGAAGACCACATGGACCTTTTACTTAGAAAACAGCAGAGTTAAAGGCCGAAAAAGCTTGAAATGCTTCATAGTTCAACTTAGTTTATCAGCTATATGAATTGCAGAAAATCGTTCTCCTTCACAGTGTAGGGAACATCATATAGATGTTGGTTATAGTTTCTCAATAGCATTCTTTACAGTCTCAACTCAAAGCTTATTCTTTATCCTATAAATTGAATGATTATATCCTTGGAGCTAGAGGGTCCTTGTAATGCCAAACAGTAAAATCCAGCTGAACGCTTTTTTATCTCAACAGTGGAGTTACCACTAGCCTACAGGCTACAGTTGTCATTTTTTCACGTTTCTCGGGCGAGCGTAGGGAAACACGAGACATGCGCGGGGACCACGACATAGTCGTGTTCCTCGCCCCACGCGTTCACCTCGTGCTTGCCCCGTTTTCTCTCTTGGAAAAGAAAAGAGTTCTGCTGTTCTCAAAACGGTATTTTCCTTTTTATCGCCAGACTGACAAACAATATTTTGTTACATCAATTTTCTACCAAAAATAAAACTGGCGAAAGTAGAGAATTTCGAAAAATATGCGTACCTTTTTGAGAAATGACAGTGAGGTCGCTAAGATGACATTTGATTTATGATGTAAAAGATTTACTGAAAAGAAACTTAGAGAAGCATTTATTATTAGTTGGCAGCCAAAAGCTCGGTCAGAAAGTGTGGCATAGTATTACCCACGGGTTTCACGAATAGGTTTATTTACTGAAATAAAATAGAGAAGGAAAAATTAACGTGTTAGTTTTTTTTCGTCTTCAACTAGTGGTTCTGTGGCAATATCTTACGTTTTTCGGTATGAACGAGTGAGGGAGAGGAAGTACTACCAGCAGATAAGAACACTCAGACAAGAAACCCCCTATCAAAATTTCTATAATCGCAGTGTAAGTCTTCTGAGTAGAGTAAGCAGTGCAGCAAGCGGCATCACTTGTCACGAATATTTTCGCGCCAAAACTGAAAGGCTCATTGTCCGCAATTGTCACTTTGTAATACTAGCTTGCAAAGGAAGAGATTTTTGATTTCCCATTCACACCTCCCATCTTATTCCTTCTCGGCTTTGAGGCTGTCCCCATCTGTTTCTGCCTGCCTCAAGAGAAATCAGCTTTTCACATATAAATACAGGCGAATAACATTAGGTCATTCATCCACCATTTTCAAAACAAGGATAAGTGTATTTGTAGTTTGATATCGTGTAATGATTTACCTCTGTAGTAATAATACTATTGTGACCGATTCTGCAATTATAAGTGAAATCTCTAAATATTTATTTAATAATCGCTTTATAAGGGGACTGTTTAGTCTTTTTCCAACTTTTGATACCCTCCCAGCTTGTCAGCAAGCCAACCCGAGCAAGAGCACGTGTAACAAAGTAAATCTTGTGTCATTTGCCGTATGGTTTTTCTGGCCATCGCGAGGGCGATGGTTACTACACAGTTAAAGTAAAGACTGTTTACAAAGTTACATTTGAAATCTTAACCACATAGTAAACGACAATAGAATATTCCTCATAGTTCATACACGGTCAAACCCAAGACTGTGTAAAAGTTACATTTGAAATCTTGCGCGCGGAGTAAACGGCAATAGAATATTCCTCTCCTAGTTTTTCATCGCTTTTCATTATTTTAGAAATGTCTCAAAAGAGCGGCTGCGAAGAAGGCCTTTATGACGAGAAGTTGCAAGAACTTAAGTTAAAAAGATCACATTCGTTTTTTGCAAACTATTTCACACGCAAAGTTCGAGCCTCGACTCTGTGTACTTCGTTAGCTTCCAGGCATACTCGACTTTATGTGGTGTTAAATTCTATGTGCTTCTTGATCCCTTTTGTACAGTGTTCCTGACTATTGTTTTTGACTTTCCGATGATCTTTTCTCAGAACGGTCATCCAAACACCAAAAGCAAGTCGCTTGCCAAGCCGCAAAACGTTCAAGAAGACAATGCAATCCACATTGACAAAATTTACTGCTCCAAGGGGGTTATGCAATTCACACACAAGTATCGATTGCTGCAAGTCATGTCCCATAAAGAAGCGGCGAAAAGATTGGTTCCAGGGAGATAAGGTAACATGATAAATTACCTTTTGCTATCCTGGGAAGACGATTGGACTTCTAAAACAGCCGGATATGTTTCTCAGAGTTTGGTGATATTACTATTTGGGTAAAGCAAGCAAAAATGTCCATGGGACTTCCCCGAACGTGTTGTGGCTAGAATAGAAATGCCGTCTTTTTCTACTTCTAGGCCAACCTCTCATCTTCAGTTGTGGTTTTTATTTTCTGCGTTAAATAAATTATATATTGTTTGTTCGAGAGAAATCGTGTGTAGAGGCCAGATCCAAGGCAACGCTAATTCAGTTTTCTCGCTTGGAAAGTTTCCACATCGGTATTTTCTTTTTTGTCGCCAGATTGGCATGCATCAATTTTCAACCCAAGAAAACTGGCGACAGTAGAGAATTTTGAAAAACGTGCACCTTTTTGCTGCGCTTAGTGAAAAATGACAGTGAAGTCGCTTCGACGACATTTGATGTAAGTAGTCAAAGATTCACTAGAGAGAAACTAATGGAAGTATTTAATATTTAGTTGGCAGCCACAAGCTTGGTCAGAAAAATATGTTGTAGTATCACCCGCGTTCGGGTTTCACGAACAGGTTTATTAACTGAAATAAAATAGAGGAAGGAAAATTAACGTGTAGGTTTTTTTCAGCCTTCAACTTGTGGCTCTGTGGCGATATCTTGAGTTTTTCCGAGATGAACGAGTGAGAGAGAGTAAGTCCTACCAGCAGATAAGAACATTCAGGCGAGAAACTCCTATCAAAATTTCTATAATCCACCTTTTGGGCTTCAGATTTCACGTGTAGTGTCATGTGATGTAGGCAAACCCCGAAAGTTCTTAAATAACTGCGCACTTTCAAAAAACGTTTCTTCGCTCAAAATTGGCGTCTTTCTTTTATCATTTATTTGATCGTTTCTCAAGCAAGTTGTCATTTCGCTGCCGTTGAAGCAGATGCGAAGAACGTCAGTATACAGACATCACACCAACCAACTCGCGCTAAGTGAGAAGACAATATGAAGGCTTGAAATTATATTACCATCGATTTTCATCAAGAAATGGGCCAGGAATATTCCACAATAGTGCAAATAATCGTCAAAGCTGATCGCGGAAAAGCGATTGCGTAACGTTCGGTAAGTTGTAAGATGACATGTTATCACAAACCAGACGAAAAAAAATCTTTAGATTCTCAGCCTGCATTTTGTACCCACTTTGCAGTCTGCAGTCTACATTTTGTACCTATTCTACATTTTATATCCGGTCTGCTGTCTGCATTTTGTACCTACAGGTATCCGCGGCACCAATACAGTTTATTTTTGGTTACAGTTATTCGCACAACACACACAATCTACCAGAAAAAAATCAGTGTGTGAGTTAATTCGACATTTTCGTTATTTCCGCATTAATACTCTTCTTTCCTTTTGTAAGAAGTTAGACATCACTTACAATGTTTCAAGTAATCCACCCACCCCCACCGAAAAATAACTCTTGCATGCATAGCATGCCTATGTTTAAGTGCGATAGTCTGTAACTTTCGAACTTTCGTCGGCCACTTCATCCCGTCGATTTTGCTGAAATTTGGCATGAAGTATTACTTTATGGTCCTAATCACGAAATGGATATTGAAAAGTTCCAGCTCTTTTTACTTGCCAAAAAAAAACGGAAAGTGCACTTGGTCTGCCCATACTCGCCCGCAAATATGGCGGATCGAAGGTGATCTTTTGAATTCAACTCGAGTCCTACAGTAAAGATTTCTCAAAATCTCGTTATATCTGCGAAACGATCTTCCCTTCCCCTTAACATTTATGTAAATAAACATGGCAAATGTCTGGTTTTAACAATATATGATCCTTACGTTCTAAGATCGCTTTAGGCCGCCTTGAACAGTGAAAAATTTACTCCAACTTAGTAACCGAATATCTCCAGTGTTACCTCGATCCAGGAGTTAACATTCACTGTGAACAACGTTTGTTCCTAGATGTACAGATTCCATAAACAGGAAAACGGGGGAAATGAAATGGTCAAGGAAAAAAATTATCAACCCGTAATTACCTGGCTATGTTTGGGACCTAGTCCTAAAAGCTCTTAAATTAATTTACGATCAGAAGAAGACGGTTAAGTACATTTATCGTCCGGAAAGTTTCCTAATAGTATGGAAATATCTTTTGATTCAACATAAACGTGATGATGTTCAAGCAAAGTTGTTGCAATGGTATGATTTTAGGTAACTAATTAAATTTAAACAAGCCATGCGCAATTACGCTCAGAGTTTAATTCACTTACCGTTTTGAGAACAAAGGATTTTGTGAAAGAAACATTCTTATCAATTCTTATATACTATTGGTGATAGCACTTGGTCATTTATTTGAATGAAATCGCTGCAAACTTAAGGTTAATGATACAGTACTTACAGGTCGCGCAACCGGATTCGTAGATGATATTGTTAAACGATAAAAATACAACTATATTTAATCTGAAATATCGTAAGGGTTTCCTCATATTGGTGTCGGGGAAAGGAATGGAAATATTATATTACTTTAAACCATTCCTGCAAATTATAAAAAGGCAGGTTGATTACTTCTTATTCCTTTTGGAAGTCTTATCTTAAAGGTAAAGTTTGGTTATGATCGTGAAGTTGACATGGAAACGGGTGTTCAGTTTCTACGGTAATTAGAACTCGTGATAGTGTCTTAGGAAAGATATGTTATTAATTACGTTAATTTGTTAATCCAGGAAGAGTGAATCTCTCTGGTAAAAGGTCACGTTCGACACCTCTCATTCTTAAAGGTGTAAACATGTGATACCCTTCATGTTTCGCAATTAGATAGTTATTGTGACTAGAACGTAGCAACTTGGGGACGGTACTTGTGAACGCCCCTTCTTCTCCAACTTTTGTAATCATGATGTTGTTATGTAACGGTCTTCTAAGGCAATTTTCTCTTAAGATACCCCTGCAGATGTAAATAATATTCTATCAATAGGTTAGTTATAATTTTTACATTACCAATCTCGTTTCTGTTCTGGCCGATCTTAACTGTAAGAATAAGAAATTTAAGGTAGAAGATGATTTTGTAACTGCGCAAATAACTCGAAGGCGCATACTTAGTTAGCAGGAACTGTCATACGTAATCTAACATGATTCGCTGGCTGAGATGGAACGATGACGACACAAGAAGATTGACAGCTTAGTAATGTCATCTGCAGTGTCACCTTATGAACGGTGCTCCTCGTTTTCCTTATGAGACAGAAGTTAGTCCCCGTTGTAACAACTTGAGATGAAAGGAGATTAAAGAAGAATCAACCAAACAAACAACGAGTGTTAGAGAATTTACTTTTAACAATTCCATTGCGACAGTGTCGCCCAGACATATTTGCTTTGGCCCAAATTCAACAGATACTTCCATAATATTAGGAAAACTTTTGGAATTTGCTTTCATTCTTGACGAAATAAATACTTAGACTTCATTTCTGACCGGTAAGCTGATTTAGGAGCTGGTCCCAAGTATAGCTAAGTAATCATAGATTAATCATTTTTCTCCTTTGACCTTTAAATTTCCCCCATTTTTTTATTAATGGAATCAATTTATCCATAAACAAACATTGTTCCATATAAATGGCAACCTCTGGATCGAGGTAACATTGGAGATATCAGGCTAACAAGTTTAAAATTTTTACTGTTCAAGGCGGTGCAAAACGACCGTCGAACGTTGAGATATCCTGTAATCAAAATCTGTCATCTCCCACATTTCTTCCAATAAATGTTAAGAAAAAGGGCAGATCTTTTTATATATTTCAAGAGATTTGAGGAAATCTTTACTACAGGACTGGAGTCGAAGTCGTAGGAACACTTTCGATATGCCATGTTTGCGGGCAAGTATGGGCGGACTTGGTCGGCTTTATCAAGTTTTTGCCAAGCAAAAACAACTGGAACTTTTTAATACCTATTTCATAGTTAGGACCCTAAAATTAGTCTTCATGCCAAATTTCAGCCAAATCGGTAAGGTTAAGTGGCCGCGATTTTTTAAAAAGCTCAAAGGTTGCAGACTGTTGCTCTTTTAATTATTTGATTTGCTCTCCTTAACTCATCACTGGCTCTACACTCAGAGTTAAAAGGGCTTTGGCTTCTGCGTATTCCTCTGTCGATTTACCAGTTTGACGATCAAGTGTCAGAAGGGTTTTTGCCACTGATCGTACAAGGCAAACTTTCTTGGAGCTCTCTTTGTCTGCTTCTCGTTCGCAAGATGCCTTTCGTTTACGATTGAGTTGCGACACCTAGGCAAGGTATACATATCAATCCCAAAGACAAAACAATTATGTAAAAGAATGACTGAATTAACTTACCCTTTCTTTACTAGCTACAGCAGATATGGGGTCAGGATCCTCAACTGTTGGCCCATTTCCACCGACAAAATGTAGACTACAAACGTAGCTGTCCTTCGTGCACACAAACTAGTCTCCTCGATGACATGACCCTATCCACCCTTGCCTTCTCTCCTTTTGTCAAACTGCCCCCGGTAAATGGAAAAACTTGATCGGGTTGCCGTTCGCATTTCTTACCCAGGAGTTGAGGTATCGTGAATCGTTTTTAGCAGGTGCCATAAGCACATCTCTTTGTCGTAACCATTGTGTTTAGGTATGCACTTACTAAACAACTGCAGTCTTACACGTTCCTAGAGTTGAAATCGTTGTATTTTTGTGAATCAAGGCTTCCTCACGTTCTATAGCCATTCGTGGGCACTAATTTCCTGTCAGACGGGGATTTATTTGATAATCTACGCACTAAACACCCTGAAAATACCTGATCAGATACATCACTGTACGCAGAACTAGGTAATTTAGTGTTAACAACTGAGTTGAAAACGTAAATTAGCCACCGTTAAGGGTAAAAAAGCTGACGTTCATTCCAGATAACAAAATCAAATAAACAAGCTAACGATGGTATTCTGAATTCGTCCTTGGCCAAACACAAACGACTCCACAAGATCACTTTCTCCAGGCATCGAAAACATACACAAAATCGTCCATAGTTAATTTTAATCCGATATTCATCTAGAAATAGCACCCAGCAAATCAATACAGAAAAATATAATCGGCACACTCAACAAATCACGAATCTTGCAACACAGCTTGCCGTTAAAGAATTGCTCAAATCAAAATGTTTGGTGCAATTCATCAACACCTCAAGCAATATTTGATTCAAAATTTTTCCACTCACTCTCGTCGTAAAGGAACAATAACCATGATCGCTACGGTCCACAGAACTCCATTTTCTCTCGAACGACTACCCATCATTTTCACAGCACGAGTGACATGCTTACTATTGGTAATCTGATATCTTACATCTGTCCAGTAGTATCACATTCCTAATAAAGCGCGGTAAAGTACACGTTAAAAACAAACAAAAGTCAACATTTCGCGTTTCGCGAACCGCCCTCTCCGAATCCCCCATAACTTCGTTAAAATTTGAACTCTTCTCAAACCAAACAACAGAAACGACGCTCTGATTGGTGCGAGATAGATACCCTAATGCGGCGATCTGATTGGTGCGAGATACATACCCTAAACGATCTGATTGGTGCGAGCAACATACCACTCTCTGTACGCTAATATAGATGTTTTTTTTTTAATAAAAAAAATAACTAAAAAATGTCGTACAATCCAAACGGCGGCGAGTTAAAATTGTTAACAGTCTTCAGGAAAAATGGATTGGGTATTAGCATATCATGCTTATTTCTTGGTGACACAGTAATATGGTAAACTGTGAGATATTTAAGGTCATTTTAGTACAAACATGTCTGAGATGGCAATTTTTGGACATGTCTATAACTACTGAGGTGATAAAATGTAACATAATAGTATTCAATTATTTTGGACAAACATAAAAGACTTTGAACATTTCTGTAGATACCAATATTTAACCGACAATAACATGAAAAAGTGTAACTTGCTCATTAGGTGAAGATTAATCTAGACGTGTGTAGAAATTTCCATAAATCTACACATGTCTAGTAATATACATGTTTAAAAATGTTAGATGCTTGGTCATGTTTGATCCAGACATGCGCATGGAAATTTCCATAGATCTTCCTGTAACATGGGAAAATGTGAGATGTTCCCTGATTATGATTGATCCAGACATGTCTGTGGAAATTTCCATAGACCTTCTATTAAAATGGCAAAATAGAAGTTGTTCAGTTATCGTTGATCTAGACATGTGCATAGAAATTCCATGGATCTTCCAGTAACATGGAGAAATGTGAGATGTTCAGTTACAATCAATCCAGACATGTGAATGGAAATTTCCATACATCTTTTATTAATATGAGAAAATGGAAGATTTCCAGTTATCATTGATCCAGTCATGTGTATGGAAATTTCCATACATCTTTTATCAACATGGCAAAATGAAAGATGTTCAGTTATAGTTGATCCAGGCATGTGTATGGAAATTTTCATAGTACTTCTATTAACATCCCAAAATGTAAGATATTCAGTTAAAATTGATGCAGACATGTGCAAAGAAATTTCCATAGATCTTCCGGTAACATGGAGAAATGTGAGATGTTCAGTTGCAATCTTGTCAGATATGTTTATGGAAATTTCCATAGATCTTGTATCAACATGGGAAAATGAAAGATGTCCAGTTATAATTTATCCAGTCATGTGCTTGGAAATTTCCGTAGATCCGCTATTAACATTATAAAATGTAAGACGTTCAGTTATAATTGATCCAGACATGGGCATAGAAATTTCCATAGATCCTCTAGTAACATGAAAATTTCCATGTACCTTCTATTAACATGCATGGCAAAATGAAAGATGTTTAGTTACCATTTGATCCAGGCGTGTACATGGAAATATCCATAGATCTTTTGGTAACATGGAAAAAATATGAGATGTTCAGTTACAGTTGATCCAGATTTGTGTATGGAAATTTCCATAGATCTTCTATTAACATGGCAAAATGAAAGATGTTCTGAGTTACAATTGATTCAGAAATGTGAATGGAAATTTCCATAGAACTTCTATTGACATGGCAAAAATGTGAGATGTTCACTTACAATTGATCCAGAAATTTCCATAGATCTCCCAGTAATGTGGAAAAATGGAAATAGATCTTCTCTTAACATAGCAAAATGAAAGATGTTTAGTTATAATTGATCCAGACATGTATATAGAAATTTCCATAGATCTCCCAGTAACATGGCAAAATGTGAGATGTTCAGTTTTAATAGATCCAGACATGTGTATATGGAATTTTCCATAGATCTGCTGGCAACTTGGTAAAATGTAACATGATTATTTACTGCTTTTAGTTTAGACCTCTCTATGGAAATTTCTGCAGATATATTTGTAAAAATTCTCAGCAAAATCACCATCAAATGTTGATATTTTATTTCTCATTTCTAAAGCACACACACATATATATGTACATGTATTTCTCTATACCTTTATATTTCTCCAAAAATAATTCCTTTCTGTGTTGTAAAAATTGTTGGAATCAATTCAACTGTGAAGCGGTTGTCAATGACTATTACACTTTTCTTTTTCAATGTTGTTAAGTGACCTGCTATTGACTGACTATTGTTAAGTAGACGAGAACAGTATGGAGAATAAGCGCACTAATCGATGCTAAGATGCCTTCTATTCGAACTAACTGCCGCTAGACATACTATTTACTCAGCCTAAGAGGATGTGAAAGTCAGTGTACCTCTCGTGAGATCTGTAATAATCCGGTGTCGCTGTTACATACTGTGCCCCAAGATCCACCGTACAGCGTGAATCACTTGCGCTTCTGTTGGTATTCATTCTCCCCCCTGCTCCGCGAGATTTTTCCCAGAAAGTGATATTCAACGCATCCTTTGGAAACTTTCTGCGCAGCAAGGAAGCTGTAACTGACCCTGTTAGCCCTGCACCGACTATGAGTAATCGGTGAGGCGAAGGCATCTTGTTATCAGCGCTCATAACAATATTGCTCTGAAAAATCAATTATTTTGAGCTTGGTTATGTTGTATAACAGTGCACGAAAAGTCGTCAGGTAGTTCACAGCCAGCGGTCCAGTCAGCGGGCATTCCCATGAAATTATGAACATAGGGAAGTTTTGGAAAATGGACAGTTATACAAACTCGTGAGGTTTCTATAAAAAATCTCGGCTGATGGCCTTGATTTGCGCTTAGTTCTTATAACCATGGGTCTCTTAACACTAGAGAAACCTTGAAGTGTTAGCTCTAGTTCCAAAAGGATCGCAAAAATGCAATTTGTTCGAAAGCTTGTTGGTAAATCCGGGCGACCGGTTCCGAACATTCATCAATCGAGCGAAGATGAAGCTTTATCGTTGCGACATTTACGAAAGCTGTTCATGGAATTCCTTCATTCACCTGTGCCACTAACTGTTCCTGAACAAGAGTCTAAGCTGTATATGATGCTGCCTTTGTTTTGCAAAGTGTTCGGCCACGCTAAACCCAGTTGTATAACAGAGAAATTTGGAGATGTTTGTCAATTCGCCGCGCACGTCTCTCGGCTTATGGTGAACGAAATTCGACGAAGAGCAGCGAATCAACAAAAAGAAACAGCTAGTAGAATGATCATTGAATTTCTTATGCGTGATTCTGCGGAGGATACTGTATCTGGATGGACTCTGTTGAACACGCTGAATATTCTTGCTTCGGCAGATACCCCAGTAGTGGAATGCATGGTGGCCGCGAGTTTGCCTTCAAACATGGTCAAATGTCTTTACTTATTCTACGATTTACCCCCAATAGAACAAACTAGTGACAAGAGTAGTGAAGATATGGAAGATGATGCTATAACAATTCAAAAGTTGTACACTCAAGTGCTGGTAAAATTATGCAATTATCACGCGACTTCCAGGGAACTTGTTCACACAGACGATCTGGCGTTGCTCTTTACTGCAATATCGTGCCCGATCCCAAAACATAATGCGCAGTGGCGAAGTTGTGTGTCGGAAATTCTGATGAGTTTATTTCGCCATGGTTTGGACCGAGACGTAGTGCATTATATTCACAGTAAGTAAACTAATGGCAGACATCGATTAGCAGATAATTTTGAAATCGTGCCAGTCGTTAATAGGTTTATTGTTTTCTTTAGAAGCTTCTTTTATTACTTCTTTCAATTTCTAACTTGTTTTGACGACGATCAAAATGTTTTTTCTCTTAAATAATTAAACCTGTTTTTGTGGCCATGTCGGTTTCGAGTCAAGAGCGTTTGGTTAGCTGTACATGTAGTTATTGAATTTTTAGATTTGAAGATTTTATCTCAGAAAGTTACAATCTTTCAATCTGATTTGAATATATTTTTCTCATCCTCTTTCACTTTGTTTAAGCTGTTGTTTCCACGAAAGAGACCAAATTAGAAGAGGAATTTTTTTGATGTATCAGTTTACATAAACTATATATAAAATGAGTGTTTGTACAAGAAGTTTCACCAGAGTCATTTCAGTAAAATATAAACAAATAAATGCTGATCAAAACAGTCAGAAATAGATTAATTTCTAATTAATATCTAATGGGATGGTACAAAAAAAGTGTGAAAATGTGGCATCACTTTTTCCTCTAAGAAAAACTGTTAAAGAAAATACCCTTAGTATTTCATCTCTGATGTTTTTCTTTATCATCAAAAAAACTTCCTTATCAGTGAATATTATTTTCAGAAATTATTTTAAATATGTCTCCCATTCAGACACCCTCTTGAGATTTTGAAAACATGAGATGATTTTACATAAAATAATCCTTGAATGAGGAAATGCAAATTTTAACTAAATGAACAAAACAAATGCATGCACCTCCTAAAAAGGGAAACATAGTTTTGTTTTTGAGAAGAAAGAATTTTGTCATTGATAACATGAGATTACTCATGTATAAATTAAGATAATAAAATCTTTAAAAAAATTTTTAATTTTTTTTCTTTAAAGGAGCATAGGAATTTATCATTTTCATGCAAAAATGAAGCATATAGTAGGAATAAATGTTGTGGATTGAAATAATTCTCTCACTCCAAGATCTCATTAAGCAATTCTCCTTACTGTCAACTATATACTCTTATGATGTTACTTCTGAGAATTTGATATTGGATCAACTGAAATTTCCTAACTGGTATTTTTCTCTATTTTCATCACTTGTCTGCTTGATATTGCATTGATTTTGTAACTGTTGCAAGAATTTCTATTTTGATTGCTCAAAGGAGTTTAATGGTTAAATTTGTGTCAAAGGAAGTTATGTAAACATTTGTCCTTTTTTTTTTTAGGCAAGTCATGCTTTAAACAATGTCTGATGAACATGCGGAAAATCCAAGAAGTAAATCCTTTGGAGTTGGTAGAAATGATTGTAACACTGGTTTGTTGTCTCAAAGACTCATCAGCAATTTCTCATTATTTATTGGCTGATTTTCGAAGTTGTCATGGCTACCTTTTCCTGTCAGAACTGCTTTTAATGCTAGGAGAGATGACAGAGAATGAAGCTCGTGAAGCCTGTAGGAATGTTGTTCTTCTTGTGTCATCGCTAGTCATGATTGGTCATGTCACATTGGGACCTCTTGTCAGTATTGGTGCCCCATTCCAGGATCCTGAATTTGAAATTCCGAAACCAATTGGTGGAGGTAATTGTAGTCCTCTGTACAGTCATGATTAAAGTTAAGAAGGCAGTGTGGCAGAGTGGTCAGAGGGCTGGGCTTGTGATCTGGTGGTCCGCGGTTAAATATTTTAACTCTGTTACTCACTGGATTTGTTCTTGGGTGTCTCAAGTTCAACTCCATGCCTACAGTCTGTATTTCTTTATTCTCATCACTTATCTGGTTGATATTGTATTGATATCGTAAGGAGAAATTCTGTCTTGGTCACTCATGGGAGTTAAAGTGTTAACCGTCAGACACTGTTGGGCAGTCGTTCTGAATTCAATGAGTATCAATCAATTTCAATTAACTGGTTTTTGTGGGTATTTTTTGGATTCGGAGTCACTGTTTAGCAATGTCTGAGATATATATTGCTTTATTATTTAATAGGTATATATTTTATATTTTTAGATAAATTTATTAATATTTGAGGAGGTGAGCGTGGCCTAGTGGTTAGGGTGCTGCACTTGTAAGCCGGAGGTCCCGGGTTCAAGTCCTCCTCCCTGCCACTGGATGGATTTGTCTTCAGTGGCCCCGAATTCAACTCCTGCACGCTTTGTAAATAGCCAACTGGTCTGCCTCCTACCAGTTGGGGTTTTTAACAAGTTTCTGTTCATTTACGATATTTGTTTCCTTATTTACAGTGTCCCCAATTAGCACAGCAGTGCTAAAATACACTGACACTTAAATAAAGTTATTATTATTATTATTATTATATTATCATTTATTAATATTATTTATGTTATATTAAACATTGCCTTTAAATATTTGTTGTGTTTAAATAAAGTTTTATCATTATTATTATTCCATATTTATGTATGTTGTGTAATTTCAATTTGTTTGTATTTGTTACTGCTTTTTCTCAGGGTTTGAAATCCTTATAAAATACCATAGTTTATACATAGAGTGAAACATTTTAACTTATGATTGTAAATTTTATTACCAGGCAGCAGCGTCAGAAATATTGAGGCTTTTCAAGTTCTGCAAACTGTGTTCCTTAAGGTAAAGATTTAGATTTCAGTGTGCAGTTTCAAACTAGCATTGAGCAATCCTTTTGTTGATAACATTCCACCATGTAATGAATGAGGCTCATTAGATCTTGCTCTTTTGCAGACAACTGACAAGCTCCTCTGTCTAAATATCCTGGATTGCATTAAGAACATCTATCGCTCAGACAACGCAAATTTTTTTATTCTGGAACCGCAGCATACATTGTCGTTATTTGTTGAAAAAGCTCCGGAGAAGGACATTGAAGTACAGGAAAGAATTTTCCAATTACTGGAACTGGTGATTTGTAATCTCAATTGGGTACCATGCCCGGAGCTGATCTCTGTCAGCATTCTTTACAAGAACAAGAAGTAAGATAACATTTTCTTAAAAAAAATGTGAAGATAACCTATTTCTCTTGCTTCGACTGTACTTGAACAATCTCTGTTTATGACATCACCTGAGTTCAGTTTTGTCTGAAATTCATTGTAGAAGAAAAAGGAGAAAAGAAATAAGTATTTTACATACAACCAATTATTTCCTTTAATATTTTTTTTTCTGATAGGGTCTCTGGCTGTCATCAAGTTGCTCTTTGTTTTCTTATTCGCATTTTGAGCTTTGATCCCAAGTATAAAGATGTGTTCAGGGATGTAGGAGTTTTAGAAGTTTTGACAAACTGTCTTAAGCAATATGCTGATGGGTTGAAGGAAAAATATGACGGTAAGGCTAATTTAAATATGATTGTTGGAAGTTATTACGCAATTCGCAGAACTACATAAGTGTAAGGCTGGAAAGCGAAAACTCAACCATTTATTTACAGGTATTCCTATGAAAATCCACAAATATTCTAGTGATCAAGCCGAGTAAATATTCAGTTAGGCAATAAGACAGGTTTCTGTTTCAAGTTTAGAGAGACCATAATTCAACAATCTTGGTCGGCAAAATATGCCAGTACAAACACTGCAATTAGACCTTTTTTGACAAAGCACATGTCATATTTCCCAGATGTTGATGTCAAAATGCAGGCACGCAGTGGGAGCTACAGAAGTTGACCAAGATGACTTTTTTTATGCTCATAAAAATCCCCTCTAAAAAGCGCCCTGCTTCCAAATGTGGCTTTCTCACTCAGTCAATAGCAGGGCCCAACTAGTGTCTGGGAGGCATACAATTGAATTCCGTCAAAGCCTGAATTTTTCTTTAGGCGTGTTTTCTGCAATTACTTGCATCTAACTTCACATTACAATATCTTCCCAAAATCACAGGTTAAGGTCATGAGAATAAAGGAAATGATCACCAACTAGAGAAGCTCTTGATTGTGAAACAAATTCTCCTTTCTAGCACATTAAGAAATATACAGAGGACAGTGAGGAGAATATGCATACTGATGTTAGGGTGTAAAGGGTTTAATTGCAGCTCACCTACAAGGATTATTTCTTTGCATTATTTTCATCTCAGGTGAAAATCTTACTAACCCTCATACTCCCAAGATCTCATTAGTAATTCTCCTTACTGTCTGCCATACAGTTCTTGTTATGTTAGTTTGGAGAATTTGGTATTGGATCAACTAATACCGGCAATCCCCTAATTAATATTTTTCTTTATTCTCAGCACTTGTCTGCTTGATATCGTATTGATATTGTAAGGAGAAATTCTGTCTTGGTCACTCATGAGAGTTAAAGGGTTAAAATCTTACTGAGATTCTTGAAAGTTTCTGACCAAGATTCTTATTAAGACTCTTAATTAAGAATCTTGTTAGATCCTACAAGATCTTAATAAGATTTCCACCTGGGATCTGTAGGTCAAATGGAGTATCTTTCATTATGAATTAGAAAATTAGTAATTACAAGGGCGGAGATTTGTCATAATTTGGGAAAGAATCATGTGAAAGAGTTCATTTTGTTCTCTATTAGAAACAGTCAAGACAGCCATCAGCCAGCTAGATGTGAATGGTTATGATGATTCTGAAAATGTTCCTGATTTTCCATTCCTGTTGATGGGATGCCTAAGACTACTCTTGGAAAATAACCCCAAAAATGCCACAATGTTCAGAGAATGTGGAGGAGCTCGCTGTGTCCACAACATTGTGCCATACTCAAGCTCAAGGACAGAGTCTTTGAAGATTATCAGAGAGTTGATTTTAAGTGGTGGAAATGATGATCTTGGTGAGGGGAATTCATTATTTTAATCATGGCCATTA